CCTGCTTCGAGCAGGGGGTTGGACTAGATGACCTTCTGGGGTCCCTTCCAACCCTGATATTCTATGATTCTATGATTTAGCAACCCTAATTTTTAGCTACTAATCTGTCCCAGTTAGGTTATAAAACCTGGTTCTGGGTGCTCCTCTCTTTCCCGAAAGACTTGGCCAGGACTGGGAATGGGACTGGGACTGAAGACATGAGTGCTCCTAGCCCCCAGCTAACCCTTTGAGTAGCTACGTGATAGGAAACTGAGTCCTAATAACAGCCGACGCTCAGTGTGGAGTGAAGCGAACACTGTACCCTGGAGGTTGGTACTGGGACCAGAGTGCGAGAAGGTATTTATGAATGATGTAGCGGAGGACGTTGATGGCTTTCTCCAATCACGTTATTGTTTAGCTTAATAAAACGGCAGAGCATTGCAAGGAAGTCCCAGAGGTTTCCAGTGACATTGGGCAATTGGGCAGCATGATGTGTTTGTACAGTGCCTAACACAATGAGCTCTTGGTCTGTGGCTGAGGCTCCTAGGTGCTACAAATAATTATAATAGCAAATGAAATATTAACTGGGATCAACGTGAGGCAAAGCCCGTTTAAACTTCACATCTGTGCTGACCCACTGAGCCTGCAGGATACTCAGAGAAAAGAGAGTCGGGCACTTTTCTGGGTAGTTTGGTGAAGGCATCTTCCCTGGCGCACTGCAAAAGATTGAGGGTAACACAGGACGGCATAGAGCCAGCTTTGAACCGTAACTGGCTGTTTGCACACTTACTTTGCACACAGACACTCCTGTATGCACATGTACAAGTCCTCTGCTCCATTTGCACGCCTGGCCAAATGGGCCAGTATCTACTTTTCTGCATGGCCATTGTAGGCTATGTGGAAAGTTAGTGCACAGAGGTGCACAGATCTCAAGGCTGAAAACCAGCCTGCGTTTGTTTCTAGATAGGAGGCAGTGATACAGCTATCTCTGGGCTCCTGTGTATGCTTTTAGGTCTGCACTGCAGGCAGGGGGCAGCTCGTGGAGCTAGCTGTGACCTCGCTCACTCAGTAACAGTGAAGCTGTGGACACATGGGCTTCCAGGAAAACTTGCCTGGCCTCTGCTGATGCTCCTGCCGCCATGGCTTCACTGCAGCCAGTCCTCCGCTAGCTAGATTGACGCTAGCTCAGGTGTGTCTACCTGAGCTGCAGTCCGGCACTTCGATTGCAGTGTTGACGTACCCTCAGTTGTCTTGCTTCAAGCAAGATAACGAGGAGACTGATGCAAAGGGAAGGGGCACTAGCGAGACTTGCAGTCTTGCAAAACAGTCCTGAAAAATGTAGCAGCCCAGACACCAAATCCATTCGCTTGCCCTTGCAGTGATGGTTAGAAGGAAAACGGTGAAGTTCGCTCGCTCATCCGCAGGAATCCTTCCTGCAGGCTGCGTGGAATGCTGCACGACTGGGAGATTGCAAAGGCAAAGAGTGTCTCTGCTAGAAGGGACTGACTGGGTGTGTGTGTCCATGCTCAGTAGTGCCCCAGTCTGGGCTGTAGGTTCAGCACTGTGCCTTGGGGTGGGAGGCAGGAATCGTGGGATGCATCTGAGGGCAGCGTGGACCTGGGATTTCTCGTGCATGTGCAAGGCTTGTGGCCTTCCACTGGGTCAGCATCGCTGCACCCTCCCCTGCCAAAGGAAGTGCTCTCTGGTGAAATAGGTCCCTTTGGCTAGCCTGCAGCGAGTGGAAATGAACCTGTTTTGCCACCGAAGCCATCCCAAGATAAGCTAAACGCTTTTACTTAGTGGCCGCCTAAGATGATGCAAACGGCAGGTCTGGGGAAGAGGGTGGTTAAAACAGACATGGTGGTTGGGTCAGCTCCTCTGGGCAGCTGTTTGGAGCTGACTCCTACTGGGGGATGCTGCTATTTCATGGCACGCAGCGGCTGCGGTTTTAAAGCCGGTCACATGCTGCTTTCTCTGCATGTCCTTGCAACACAGAGGTGACCTGGGAGACGTCTGGAGGGGCCGCATAAGAGTAGGCCACATCGTAGTGGATGGGGAGGCGGGAGATCATTTAAAACCAAGACCCTGCAAGTGGGTTGTGGTTCATCCCTGCCTGGCCAGCCTCTGACTTTCAGTCTTAGTGTTCTTGGTTATCGCCTGTCAGTGCTCTGCTCCCAGAATCAATATTGCCCAGCTGGGGACCACAGCAGTGAAGCGGGCTGGGGAAACGAGCTGGAATTGACTTTTGAACGAGATGTGCAACTCTTTCTCTCTCTCTCTCTCTGCTGAGAGGCTGCTTTTGTATCTGGAGGGTGCTTCACTGCCTCTCCTAACATGTTGGATCTTGTGGAGACGCTGAAGTGGTTCTGCCCAGAAATGAGCGCCTTGGGGGTGGCCTGGCAGGTGGGAGCTGGGAGAATTATTCCTAGCAGGCTATTGAGTGCTCAGACGTGAGTGGCTCCCCAGGAGGAGTGTAGCCAGGCCTCAGCAGGGCAGCTGGTGTTCGGACAGCAGGTGGGATTTGGTTTGTACAGAGTTGTAGGATTGGAGAGCAGAAAGGACCACCTGTCTGTTGCAGGTCACCAACCCCGCCCCGCCCCCAGAATGAGACCAAGGTATGACAGCCCACAGGAGACTACACCATTATGTGCCCCACACAGTGAACAGGAGGGGCTGAGGGGCACCAGTGCCCGAGGCTCCTGCAGTGGTGAGAGAGACCCAGATAATCCTGGCAAGTGACCCACATGCTGCAGAGGAAGGTGAAAAACCCCCACGATCACTGCCAGTCTTGCCTGGAAATTGCTTCCTGACCCCACATACAGCAATCAGACCCTGAGCATGTGAGCAAGAACCAGCCAGCCAAGCGCCCAAGAGAGAGGATGATTGGTGCCACCTTAGAGCACTGTCCCACCCCATCCTGTGTCCCATCTCTAGCCGTAGCCATCCCTGATGGTACAGAGGAAGGAGACAACCCCCCACCCCAAAACCATAGAGGGGAGGGAGAGGAGGGGGAGATTCCCTTCCTGGCCACTGCATGTGATCGTCCAAAGCCCTGAAGCATGAGACTTTAGGAACATCTGACATGAACCAGAAGGGAGCCCCCAAGGGAGCCCCTAACACAAGAGAGCCTGTCTCTCAACCCTGTTCATCACTTTGTCCAGCTCTCTCTTACAATTAATTAGTTTTCCCCACACCTCTGACTGGGAGGCTGTCCCAGGACCTCACTCCTCAGCTAGTTAGAAACCTTCTTCTAATTCCCAGCCTGAACTGGTTCATGGCCAGTTTATCCCAATTTGTTCTTGTGCCAACATTGTCCCTTCCCTGAAATAGCTCTTCTCCCTCCCTGGTGTTTACTGCCTGACGTATTTATGGAGAGCAACCAGATCCCCTCTCAGCCTTCGTTTTGCTAGACTAAACAAGCCAAGCTCTTCCAGTCACCTCTCATAAGACAGGCCCTCCATTCCCCTGATCATCCTCCTAGCTCTTCTCTGCCCCGGTTCCAGTTTAAATTAATCTCTTGAACATGGGTAACCAGAATTGTACACAGTATTCCAAACGAGAACTTACTAGTTCCTTGTCCAATGGCATTAACACTTCCCTATCTCTCCTGAAAATGCCTTGCCTGATACATCCTACAATTGCTTTTTTTTGCAGCCACATCACATTGCTGGCTCAGAGCCATCCTGTGATTGACTAATACACCTAGCGCCCTCCTCTCCTCTGTCACTTCCAAGTGATGAGCCCCTAGCTTCTTGCAGAAATTCTTCTTGCACTCTAAGTGTGCAACCTTACACTCTGTACTGTTACAGTTACTGTCACTCCAGCTCTTCCAGGATAGCATTCAGATCCTCCTCTGTGCTGACGATGCCTCCCATCTTTGCACCACCAGCCCATCGCATTAGCATTCTCCTGTTGTTTTGTTGTTTGGTGCTATAGTCATTAATAAAGATGTGAAATAAGATCAGATCCCAGGGCCAATTCTTGAGGAGCTCCACTAGTGATGTCCCTCCAGTCCGATAGTTCACCTTTCAGCACAACCTGTTGCCTTCCCCCATTAGCCAGTTCCTTACTCACCTCTAAATTCTTAACCTAAGGTCCCCCCCATCTCTAATTTAAGCAGTCATTTCCCGTCTGGGACTGTGTCGAATGCTTTATAGAAGTTTGCATTCAGATTGTCCTTGCCCTGGTGGCCTGAGCCCTTGCCGGCAAATCCCCATCCTTGCTGCTCTCAGGGAGGTGCAGAGAACAGGGACATGGGGTGGATTGCTACTGCTAAACGGCGAACTGCTACTGGCGGTCTCTACAGCCTCAAAGCTGGGCCCTGGGGCTAGCAGCGGTGGAAGCTGTAGTGGAGACAGAGCATGGGCATCTTTACCCCCTTGTCATTTAATTCTGTTCTGATGTGGGCTAGGCAATGCTGGTAACAGAAAGCACCTGCACCATGGGCTACAGTATGGCTTCCACCATGGGATGGCACTGGTGGAGAACAGCTGCTGCGTCGCCGGCTTGTGCAGAGGCATCCTAGGTCATCCCTTGGTGAGCAGCGACCAGCTGAGCTCTTGGGGCAAGCAAAGCTGTAAATCCAGTAGCTAGAGACCTACCAGATCAGGTTGTCCACCCGCGTAAGGCTGGCTAGTCGCCAGAGCTACGCTTCTTGAATTGGGGAGCCATGCAAGCAATCACGTGAATAGCTTTTCTTACCTGGAAAGCTGCAATGGGCCATTTCCTGCGGAGGGACCGCTGCCAGCAGTTGTTTCGTGGCGGGGTCGCTGGAGTGGCAATAGTTGGCATGCATTAGCTTACCTTTGTAACTGATTCCCAGGCGTGTTCGCTGCTTCCCACGCAGGCGTAATAGTCCTTTGCCGGCAGGTCGTGCGGATTTTAGTGGCAGTGCGAAGCTGTGCTTTGGGGGTTTAAGCTCAGTCTTGGACGTTGGCTTGCAGACCAGGGTGGGCCCGACGCCACAGCTGAAGGCAGAGACCGTTTCTAAAGCTGATTTCATTGTTTTTTGGCCCATCTAGCTCGATGACTTGAACCTCCCGGAGATCAAACGGAAGCGGCCGGAGGACAGGAAGGAGGACGACAAGAAAGAATTCAAGGATCTCTTTGAGCTGGACAGCGACTCTGACGGGGAGAGCGGTGGATTCTCTGTGCAAGGTATGGGGCTGGTAGGAGTTTGATTGTGTATTGCAAAGAGGCAGGGCCAAATCCAGATGGTGCCTTGCCAACTTGGAGGAGTTGCATTACAGCTGAGCGTGGCCCATCAGCCTTGGGGACATGGAGAGAGAATGGTATGGAGTTTCCTTTTGTGGCTTTTCAACCAGCATAGGGAAGCTCATTTAGAGCCTTTCATTTTGCCAGGGTCTTTTTGCTTTGCCTCTCTCCAGCTCATTCTAAAGTCCCCATCAGCCTTCATCTCCCTTCTTGACCCTCCTCCCCACCCCCCCAGCACCTGCGTTTTGCTGTAGATGCTGACCCTTGCCAGCGGCTCTCTGATAATCCAGCAGCAGGCGCTCATCGTAATGTAGCGCCCATTCTCTCAAATGTTTCTGTGATATGGCTGAGATTCAACCACTGCAAGGAGTTCTACGGTAGTTCTTGAATGCAGGTCTATGGTCCTCTGTGTCTCGCTTTCCCTTCTGTACAACGGGAATACTAGCAGGGCCTGCCTCACAAGGGTGTTGTGGGGATAAATACGGTATAGACTGTGAGGTCAGTACCAGAGGTAGGCCCAGCAATTGCTGGTTTCCAGAACAGAGACGGTCTTTGAGAGAAGGTCAGTTCCTCCCAAACCCAACACCCTTTCTGTCCCCGGGATCTTTTCAGAGAACTTTTTAATGACTTAAGGACTGCACAGGTTTTGGATGGGGCAAGAAAGTTTTGGTCCGTAGAGAAAATAGAGTGGTATAATTCATGAATTAACCACTAGGGGTCCGCCACAGAACATGCTGAAAAACTCCACTGGACACCTCCAAAAGCTGTCAGATTCTTCTTTTAGAAAGTCTTGTATTTATCTCGTGTTTTCTGATTCTTATTACTAGGGGCATTTTCAGCAAAACAGGATATTTTTGTTAGTCCAGGAGCTCACCTGGCCTTCTTTCTTGCCCCCCATTTAAAGTTCTGCCTCCCATATGGGATAGTGATTATGATGTGTCAGAGTAAATGCTGACATTTGCTGGGGAGTTAAGCCACATAAGTTGATGAAACCCTGGTTTCGTTGCAGGTGTTCCTAATAAAAAGGGCGGCAGGGAAAGTTCAGAGAACTTTTGCCACATCAGCTGCATATTTAAAGCAATGGATTTTGCAGGTGTCCTTTGTAGTAAAGAGGAACAGGAAAAATCAAATGCACAACCAGAATTGGTGAATATTGAGATACCTGCAGCTCTGCCCAACACTGGGCTGGGGCTTGTCATGAATGCTTTAGGAGAAAGTCTCAGTGGTTTCCAAAGGGTTAATAACATGTGTAATTGAGGGACTGGGGAGTGGGAGTCCAGGACTCCTGGGTTCTATTCCTGTCTGCATCACTGGAAAGGTCACTTAACCCTGAGACTTATTTTCAATATTTCTATAAAGTGCTTTGAGATGCTCACATGAAAAAGGCAATATCCATGTCTGATAATTAGAGATATACAGTATAAGGCCATCCCTTCATCTCCTGGTTCTGGTCACCTCTACCAACCACTCCTGCTTTTGCTCTGGCCGCTTATCTGCTTACCTAATGAATGCAAAGCTTTCCGCGGTACAGTGTGCTGTACCGGGTAGAGGAGATGGCTCTGAGATCAACATAGGCCCCTGCCCAAAGTGAGCCACACTCCACTGCCGAGGTGGGTATCTTGGGAAAGGAGCCTAGGATGCATGGTTGGGCCTGTGAAGCCCAGTGGCACTGACTTCACCATGGAGAGTGACGGGGGAAGCCTGATAGATCACAGCAGGTTGGCAATGTGAAATGAGCCGTTGCACTGACATGTTCCGAAGCCCTTTAGACACCAGTCATCCTCCTTCAGAAGATGAACAGTAGTGACTGCCCGGCCTGAAATCTCTGTGCAGATCCGCCAGGGCCCTCAAACGCAAGTCTGGCCTGTCAACCGGACCCCGGAGTTCCTGGCCCAGCCTGCTGTGTTCCCCGGGTGATGGGGGACAGTGAAAAGTAGCAAGTCCTGTATAATGTGGGGCCACTCTGGGGACCAGCAGGAGGCAGTGGCCCGCTGAAGGGGTCTGCTGCGCTCCGGGGAGTGCAAACACTGCCAGCTTCCCCACCTGGGCTACGCTTGGCAGAGGCCGTGAGAGTGCGTTAGCTGACTCCTTGCTGCAACAGCCTTGCCCTGCTCTTTATTTCTGAAGTAAGAGCAGGTGCACTCAAAGTGGCGGGGAGAGCGGCTAAGAAGTGACCGACTGCCCTTAAAGTCTCTTCCAGTGAACCAACGCCCTCAGCGGGAGTCCCCAGCATTACTGGGGCTTGCGTGCACCCCCCAAGCGGCCTGGGCCATAGTCGCAGGGCAGGGCCTGTCCCTTTCCAATAGCCGCAGTGTTCCCACATCTTACCAGCCATGCACCAGCCCCGACCTTTCATTAAATGCTGTGCTAACTAGCAGAACGTCATTGACGTTTGTATTGGCTGTTTGATGTATTGGCTGTTTATGGTTTTGGCTGGCCAGCGAGTAGCATGACCCTGCTGGCTTGGCATATGCTTGGGGTGGGATTTTCAAAGTGGTCTGGGTGATTTAGAGACACATCTTTCATTCATTTTTCTTTGAAAATTTCAGCCCAGACTTAGTTGCTCATGTCTGTCACAGAACAAGAGAGCAAGGAAACTGAAAAGTAGCAAATTGAAAAACCATTTCCTTATATCCGTTTTTAAACCGCATATAATAGGACTGTGGAACTCATTGCCACAGGATGTTGTTGAGGCCAAGAACTTACTAAGACTGGACATTTATATAAATAACAAAAATATCCTGGGTTATAGTTAATGCTAAAAAGTAATATTGGGGGGAGATAAAACCACGTTTCAGGGTTTTAACCAGCCTCTTAACTATTAGGCATTAGGACAAGACTTTATTGGGAGAGCTTTTACCCTGCCTTGGCCAACTGTGGGGTTCTTGCACCTTTCTCTGAAGCATCTGGTGCTGGTCAGTGTCAGAGACAGGCTACTGGGCTAGATGGACCTTGAGTCTGATCTGATCTGGTGGTTCCTGTGGTTGTACTGTGGGCAGCAGAAGAGAGCCCTCCCTTATCCACTCCCTCCTTTTCCTTAATTGACCTTAGTAGCATCTGCAACTGGCTCACCATCTTTGTGGCTCACTAGTGAGCTGCAGAGAGCTGGACTAGAATAGAAATGCTTCCCATTCCTAGCCAGAGACGAGGCGTTTGGCGTGGGAACCCTTTCCCTGTTGATAGCATCATCTTCTTTCCATTTGTGGTTCAGTTTTGCCCAGACAGATCCCAGCCTGCATTCAGCCAGTGGAAAATCAGCCGTTAATAGCTAGGAAATTAGCAATTTTCTGTTAATTAGCTGCTGTTCAAAGCCCCACTCTCCCCCACCTTTTTTTTAAATTAAATATTGCTGTAGTTAAGTGCTCATTAGGGTTTACAGTGACTATAATCTCCCTGGAATAGGTTAGCATGGAGAACAGCAAGATTCCTGGGGTTAGCTACAACTAACTAAAATACCTCGCTTGTTAACTAATGTCTAACAAATGTCAGGGCAGCTGGGGCACAGGAGAACAGGTTACTGAAGAGGTCTGTCCCAGTGCAAACAGTTCACTCGCTTTGAAGAAGGCTTAAGATGCAAAATGAACAGTAAAGGACGATCTAGTTCAGCAAGTAGCAGGGGAAAAGTATAGAAAAAAACCAGCCTCTCTCTCTCTTTCTCTTTCCCAGGCCCTGTAATCAGAAAGCAATTAATTGCCACAGGGGAAGCGTGGCTAATTAGCGTAGCAAATGAATGACTTCACATGCACAGCCACAAAATCCATGTTGTGTGTGCTTATTATAGTACCCCACTTCTAGGCGGAGGTAGGGGAGAGGACATGGCTGCTTTGATCACTTACTTCCACTGCTTCCTTAATGACCTGGCAGCCCTGGTGGGAGCCCCAGTGCGGCATGCTCCCATGTGGTGCTTACGGCCTGGACTTGCACTCGGTAGGATTGGGGCCCCCACGTGCCCTAAAGCTGCTGGTGCGGAAGGCAGGTGGACCCTGAAGAGCGAGGCTTTTGCCAGGCATTCGTGAGTGTACAGTGCAGCTGACGTGACACCTCCCTCGGTTCTGTTCCCTGCAGGGTGCGGTGCTCTGTCTCCATGGGTTTGTCAGTTGATCACAGGACAGCACCCACCTAAACTGCTCTGGGCAATTCAGTTAAAATCCCCCAAACAGCCACAACAGCAACTGAACAAACATCCCCCAAACACAATTCCCCATTGCTCGCTGTCCCCTATCCTCACCCTCCCACCCCAACACCTCCACGCCCATGGTCCAGCTGCAGGGATACTGGATGGAATTCATTTTGTCGTCCGTCTCCCGTGTTCCCTTAGGAATTACTGCATTTAGGCAGGGGCCCTGCCACTGGGACACACGAGAGCTCTCTTTGCTAGGCCTCGGGCCAGTGTGCGGGGAGAGCTGCCGTGCAGAGCCCAGCATGAAATTGGGCTCCGTTGTGGGTGAAGCAGCCTTCCACCCCCTGAAGCGCCGGGAAGGAGGGGAACGGAGCTGGACGGCTTGCGGGCTATTTAGGATCGGCTGTATCCAAGAGAGCATGGTCAGAAGGGCAGGCTGCAGTTGGTCCTGCTGGGAGGGTGGATACAGTTCCTTTCTCTGGCGGCCCTGTATGCTCCAGTAGGGTCTGGGGAGCTGTGTCCTCCCCCTCCCTCCTGTCTGGCCTGGCTGATAGCAGGAGCTCAGCTGGCCTCTCGCCTGAGGGGGAGGCTGTCGAACCTCAGGCAGCTGGAAATGGGGAGGTGCCCTGAGCTTCCCTGTTCTCCCAGGCAAATGGAGGGGCAGCTGCTGGGGATCGAAGTACCAGTTGAACTGCTGACAGGATTGTGGGGGGTGCACCCCAGCCTCTGCTCTGGTCTTAATGCAGGGGGCTGCAATCCTACCATCCTCCAGCTGGAATGTGTGCGCGCACACCCCTCCAGCTGCACCGAGGGGGTTATGTAC